ATGGATGGATGGCTGTTGACCACATTTTTGTGACAGGTACTTGGTTGATACTTGAAAATCAGTGAGTTGACCTGTACTCTAGCGCCACCATCAGGCCAAACCTTTAAATTTGAATTAATGTATCTTGAATTTTTCATACAAATCTTCTCAAATTTACTTCTCAACATTAATGACCACAAGTCTAGTTTTGGTGATGATGGATAGGACCTTTACTGTAGCGCCACCATCAGAAAAACTTTCAGGTTGAGAGCACATTCATGTCTCTCACAGAATGACCATGTCAACTACATCCAAGTCTTTCCAACTGTCCCCATATGCACGCTTCCCCTTTAAATATGTCATCCCAAGCACAATATATTTTTAGATGGTATTAAGAGCTCGAATGATGACTTGATGCCATCAACATGGCTGACTGCATATCTGGTGGGTCTTGGAACCATTTTGATAATATTACTAGAGCTACGTCTACCCTGCTGTTTCAGTGGAGAAAGGGATCTTAGTATCTTTCCATTTTTGGAAGAGATCATGTCTGCAGGTGGTTGAGAGACAACAGGAGGGTCAACACTCTCATTCTCATCAGATGAGAATTCCTCAATATCAGGGTCCTCCTGAACACAGTCCTCTGTCTCAGAGACAATTTCTCTTAAGTCACTTTCACTGTCCAAGAGCTGTTCCAAAAGGTTTTTGACAGTAAATGTTTTCCCAGACGACATTTTCAAAGAGAGAGCGTGCAGATTGCAGTATACTCAGAGCACAACGAGGAATGATTTGGATAGAGGACTGAGATGCAAGCTTTTATATTTGCTCCTCCCTGATTTTGCATGAACTACCAATGTCCTTGCAGGAATACCCCACCCTCCACAGTGTGGGGAAAAAACAGTTCTACTTTGACAGGGGTGAGTTCAGAAGGTTTCACTCACACAAATCCATGCCCATGGTGCAGGAAGTATCAAAATAAATAAATAATAAATAAAACAAAATATATCAACTCAAATGTATCAACTGCAACTGCATGTGTGGTCATGTTAGGTCACACACACTGACAGACACCTTTTAACAGCTAAAACAGCTTGGGGTCAAATTGACCACTGAGGACGACGACCAATGTGTGCAGTATGTGTTCAACACATTGAAAAAATATCATCATGACAATTTTATGTTTTATCAGTTGTCCCCATCAAATTAGGAAAAGTCATGAAATATGAAGCAAAAGAAAAAAGTTAACTACTATTTTTTGAATGATAAACATTGAGTGGGGTCAAATTGACCTAAAAGACAATAGGAGGGTTAAGTACAGACCAAATTCTGTCTGTACTACCGAGAATCTATTCACGTAACATCAAACAGCACCATGTTTCGGTACCTAAACGCATCATTGCGACGGTATTGGCATAAGAATGGTGAGCTTTCCATGCTTGTCCTGAACGCAGCATCGCGCAAGAGCGTAATGACGTCAGCGGCCGCTGGTTCAGTAAACAGAGCTCGGTCTGATTGTAGCATGAAAGTGAGCCTCTCAGCTCCTAAACTCGTCGAACAGACCGCCTCTGAACTATCTGGTGGATTCATTATCTTGTGAACACTACGTTCGCTTACTCAAAGTAAATAAAGTACAGCGACTTTCTTTATTTCATCCGCCATTAAACAGAGACCAGCAGAGGAAAACAACAGAGGCAATTGCCGACAATCCAAACGTGTCTGACCTGAAGGAGCACAAAGCAGCCAACTTGAAGAGTTGGATGCGTTTTGGATGCTTAAAACGTAGCTTGAATACCTTTTATTTATTTTAACTGCATCCTCTTTTGCTTATTTGATTTAAAATTATTTGCCTTCCATGGACCTCCATCACACAATTTTTCTAGCGGGGGAATGACATCAATAGAAATACATGGAGCTGGATTATAATTTGTGCAATAAGACAAAACAGTCTTGTTGTTTTCAAGAGTTTTTGCACTTTAAAGAAATAAGTTACACAACTGATGTTWCAATACATAGAGTTGGATGTTGTCTTGATATTTGTTAATTTTATATATTGAGAAATATGTTAAAAAATAAAAGTTTATTATTTAAAAAAAACAACACACACAAAGTACCGAAAATTGGTATCGTTAAGTACCGGTACCCATTCCCAGGTACCGGATCTTGGTACCGAATCGATTCAAATGCCAAAGGTACCCATCCCTACCGCCAAGTAAGCTTCATTTGTTTACTCAGACTCAGAGCGGACGTTGACGCGCAGAGCATGTGCTAAATTAGTAAAGCTAAAAAGCTATCGTAATGACTCTCAAAGTGCAAAAAAGCAGTCACAATCATCTAAAAACTCTTTATAGAGTTCAACAATATGTTAAACGACAGGACGAAGCAGGTTCAACTTGCTGGACCCACAAAACAACACAGCTTGTCCATCTCCTCTGTGCAAGCTGCGCGAGTCTCACTCACACAAAGTAGCCCCTCCCTCCCCTGAACATTAACCCTTTAGGGAACAGATATTATAGATTTACCTCCCAGAGCAGCTAAATACAGTATTTTCAGTGATTAGTAAAAAGTATTTTCATATAGTTTTATTTTTTTATTATATTACTGATATTTTACAAGGTTTAGAGTTCTGAGGTTTTACAAAGATAATGATTGGTACAAAAAGGATGTGATTTGATGATTTATCATATAAACCTTAGTCCATTATTACTGATAATTTTGGCTGTCAATAAATAAATAAATTAATAAATAAATAAATGTAAATTTTGTTCTAGGGCTGCAGCTAACGATTATTTTAGTAGTCGAATAATCTATCGATTATTCTGACGATTGTCATGTTCTGCAGTAATTAATTAAGCTTATTTAATGAGAAATACAATTATTTAATATTGTGAAGGGGTAATATACACTTGCTGATGAACCTGCTGCAATCAAAGTAAAATTACACCAGTTGTATTAATTAATGCATTTTAAACTCCATTTGTTTGTATTTATGAATGTAAGGTTTGAGGAGGCATTAATTAAAAGCAACAATGAAAGAATGAATTATTTCAAACTTAAAACATTTGCAATATGATTCAGACAAATAAAACATTGATGCTTCATCATAAACTTAAAACATAATGATTAGTTTAGTTAAATAAGATGTTTCCACAGAAAATTCCATAACATAGCTGAATCACATTGGGGGAGAAAAGATCTGTTTTCCTTCCTCATGTAACTTTGATAAACATTGTCTCTTGATTATCAAATGCATAAGAAATCTTAGTTAAAAGAAAAATAAATCAAAATAATGGCAATTATCCTGTTTATTATCAGATTAAGAAAAAGAGAATGTCTCTTTAACGGTTAAGATGACCTGTTATGGCCTAAATTCAGTTTTAACTGGAACAGAGTTCTGTCCGAGGCCTGAGGTCAAAGACAGTTTTCTTGTTTATTACACTTGAGGTGACCACTAAACAGGCATGTGATGATTCCAACAAAACTGCTAACAATTCATCACTAATGAATGGTGAAGTGGCACTTCAGCGACAGTTGGCATCGAATTCTATCTTGTTATGATTAAACTGTGATAAATTTATGTGCAATCTGCTTTGAATGACTCATGTCACAATCTTCTCAAACAGAATGTACTTTTAAATGATACATTAGTTAACACACACCTTACCACCATACAACAGACGAGCACAGTTATTTCTGCCTTTATGTCTGCATCCATGCTGCAAGCATACCAAGCTGATAGGAAGGTCCACCCAACTGATCTGACTTCTAGGCCCTGAGGAGTGGCCATATGCAGAAGATATTTAAATATGGGCTGACTTCAAAAATTCGGGCCAAAATCCTATGACTGAATAAACTGTATTTTGGTCCAGCTGGGTATCATATGGCTTTATTTCTTGCAATAAAGTCTAATTCCGAATTTGTTTCACACTTGCAACAAAGTAAAAGAATACAATATTTTTCAGTACTTTTTCAATCTACTCAACACAATCAGTAGTAATTTTCCCTCTATCCTTTATCAACCTGACACAATGCACATAATTTCCAGCTCCATGTGTCTGTTTTGCTAAACAATACAAAATGTCCGGATTCTGATCTCAACTTCCTCATTCCACCATCCACGACCACATGGTCTTCCCTTTGACCAGAAATATACCCTTGATAGATTATTTTATTACCTTAGCTGTTCTTTTCTCCAGTCCTCTGGTAGATCCTTACTAGCCATAAAAAACTTTTCCAATTCTTTGCTGAACTGCTTACAGCAACTCCTTCAGTTTCCACCATATTGGTTCTGTCGTCACACTATATTTTCTTTGTTTCTAATCTCATTTTAAAAACTGAAGCTAAATCATTATTTGCTGCCTTGTTGCTCTATTCTCTGGCAGCATCTTACAATCTCTAATCTCTTTCAGGTGGAGTCTCCAGCTAATATAAGTGTCCATATCCATATAAGTATACCTGTATATTCACAGTCATTTCTATTCTTCTGACAAAATCAATGGCAATCTGTCCTTAAACATTCCTATCTTTCACACCACACCTCTCCATCTTACTTCAGAATTCCTCTTTCTCCTCAAACTCACATCAAACATGTTATGAACTTACAACATTCAAAACTGCATGCTCAGTGACCAACATTAAGCTCATGACCCTTTCTGATATTCTCGTCACATTGAGAGCACTCTTCACAAATGATTTCTTTATGATTACCCCAACTCCATCTCTCTCCCCAGAGACCCCACGGTAAAACCGTTTGAATTCTCCTTCAATGCTCCTGGTCATGCTTCTGTTCCATCTAACCCTAACCTGAACACAAAAAATATTAACCTTACTTCGGTGTATTTCTGCCCGCTTTCTACCTTTACTAGTTACTGAACCTACATGCAAATTTCCTAGTCTAACTCTCACACTTCTGCTATTCCCTTTATCTTGTGGTCTCCTAACAAAACATTCTCTTCCCCTCCTTGACAATGTTCAATCAACTGTAGTTTTATAATAGTCTACTGCGATAAGCAAGCAGTACTCACCAGACTCTACAGTCAGGTTGACAAACTGAACAAGACTTGTCCATATGGTGACCAACAGGGACTCTGTAGAACAACAGAAGACATGACACAGTGACCATTCATACAGCGGTTAATTTTAAACAAACTGCAATTTTATGTTTTAAGAAAAAGACAAAAAAATGTACTGATGAACAGGTCTAAAGGATGTCAAAACAATTCTGCAAATTAGTGAATGGAGACAAGGTGTTAGATATGAGTTTTGATGAAAGGACAGCTGCCAAAGTGTGCACTGAAATCAGTATCTCACTTGGCTACTCAGCAGTTGGTGACTCAGAATTTCAAGATAAAAAGTGTAAATTTTCAGTTAGTCTCATTAAATTCTGAATGCTTGCAAACAAGCGATCACTGAGACATGGTCAGTTTTATTTTTAAATCTTGTACTATTTTTTTATGTATGGCTCAAAACTATTCTTGACCACACATCATTTTGTTGCCCACCTCACAACTGCCTTAGCCTGCTTTGTACTTATTTTGGCAGCCGCCCCACTTTTACGAATTAATCTACATGAGTATATTAAAGACGTGAAAATACACAGATTAGGACTGGTATAGGATTGTTTAATTCCCCTTTAGGGATCAATAAAATATTTTTGAACTGGATTTCAATTATTCTTTATCCTCTGTAGAGTTTTCAAACCTCAACAATCAGAATTTTAGTCTCTGATGTTTTTGATCATAATTAGAGCTCCCTGCAGGTATCAAAACCCAGTTTTTGACCTCTAGAATTATAGAAACTAAATCAAGCCAGGTTGGAGAAACCAGCAACTCTGGTTTGAGAAAAAAATTGTACAAATTTCTTTTTTAACATGACAACAAAATCCAAACAATACCCAGATAGCAAAAGATGTTAATTCAATGTTGAATTTTGGTCAAAAAAGTTGATTTTTGTTTAAGGTCGACAATCAACCATCAAACAATCATCCAATTCTAGCCAAATAACCACTGTTGAAAAGATGTTACTGAACCAATGTTGTTTCATTCTATTCATTGAAATGCCAACGTCTAATCAATATCGAATCAACAAATATTTAGTATCAGTTCTAGTTGAAATCCTATGTTGTTTCAACAAGCAAGTCATGACCACTTTTTGTATAATTTTAAAATTAAATCAATATTACAACTGACCATATTTCAATGCTGATTCACTCGTTTTGTTATCTAGGTAGGCCTCTAAGACTCAATCAAAATATTTTCTAAACATGTGGGAGGTGGAAAAGAAGATACTGAAAAAGAATTCAATTAGAAACATCAGTGCTGTAAATACGAAGCTATTTTGGAGCCTTGTTTATAAAAAATAAAAGCTACCACACCTAAATAAAGACCAACCATTTTAATGAACAGCTACAGTCATAAATGAAACATGCTGGAAATGAATGTGAGACTGCTCAGACCCATATGGTGCTGCAGTTTACCTGGAGCTTCTTTGCCAATAATGATGAATCCATCTTTGATACTGGAGATGAGCACAGCAGCGTGTTTCAGGAATGATGCAGCACCAGAGAAGAGTGGGTGCTTTAAGGGCTCTGGAAACAACACACTTAATGTTCATATAATAAAAAGCAAAATCAAATTCACCAAACCTTGAAATAGTGGGTTAATGCTTCATCACTTAGGCGAATAATGCACTCCCAGAGCTCAACTTCTGTACTTCAAAAACCTAAAACTAAAAATAAAAAAAACACTGAGTTTGTCTGCTGTACTCCTGCAGGGTATCTGCAGGCTTCAACAGATCAAATTTAAGACAATACCTTTTTAATGTCACCTTGAACAACATTTAAAGGGGACTTATTATGCAAAATTGACCTTTTACATGTTTTTATACTTCAGTTTGGGTTTGTACTGTTTCCAGAAAAAATCCAAGTGCCAAAAAAATACTCTCAGACATTTTTTGGCAATATATATATGTTGTTAGTGTCAGCAAAAGAGCTGTTTCAAAAACCTGAAGATTGTTGCATCACAATCTGGGTTTTCTAGCAACACCAGCGACAAGCCCAGCCCCCCACCTGGTAACCCAAGTGGAGACTCCACCCACTTCAGGAAGACTAGGTTTGTTGTGCTGTTTTAACAACAGTCACAGAGAACAGAGATGTGTGGCCTAATTTTATTATTGATGGCAATGTCCCTGCAATATTGCCAAAGAAAGTCATAGTTGTAGTTGTTATGTACTTTTCTTATTTCAGGTATATGTTTGGATTGATTTTAATGTGATCTTTTGTAAGAAAATTTAGTGTTCTTTAGCTGAAATTGAGACGAAACACATAAATGTTGAATAGATTAAAATGTGAAGAGAAGAGAACTATACAACACCAGTGACTGGAATGAACGGAGGTTTAATGCTGATCAGTCAGTCATGAAACCCACGCTGAATGAAAACCAGAAGTCCTGGCATGTAAATACACGTTCTTCAGTGCCTGGTACGTCCACTACTGGCCTACGGCTGAATTGCAGACACTCAGACAAAAAACCTGTACTTATGTTTGATAAATGTTTTTTTATGTGTTGTGATGGTGTTTCGGGCATGTATCTAAACGATTTTAATCAAGACATAACAATAGTCAAACAATGGATTATAAAAGTCAATACTTAAAAAGGAAAACTAAGAAAATGGTGTGAATGGGCGTGGCATTTATATAAGCCCATTCAGGCTTCTACTGTTCCCTTGCACATGATTGTTTTATAAAAAAATTTTGCTGTGTTTTCTGTGTTAAATAAAATTAAATAAAAAAAATAGTTTGCACAAATAATTTCCCAATGGACTTCTTTGAAAAATACTAACAGTAAACTACAGAATTAGTCCAAGGACTTTCACTGTCTCTACTGTTTGTCACAAATCTGCAGATTATGGCGATGTAAGTGATGTTTTGTGTATTTAGTATTGCTGTTGGGCATGAACATCATTTGTCACACTTGAACAAACAAATGCTGAAGAATAGCACACAGCCATGAAAAGCACCGTTGAGACCCTGCAGCCTGAAGACTCCCGTCATAGCGCTCATCTCATGATATGGGAACCTCCAGGCTGCAGCACGAACCGTCTCTCTGTTTGACCTTGGGAAGAGGCAACAAACACACATTGGCCTCCCCAGGCACCTGTCTGTTGCTACAAAGTCCTTGCCCTGGGTGGCTACGCAGTCCGTCATCATCATCAACTGATCCAGTGGGGGGATAAGTGCGCTGGAGGAGGCTGCACCCAGGACACTCCCACACCACTGCGCTTGTCTCATGACACAGAAGCCTCCAAGCTGCAGCGACAAGGACCTTGACCGCCCTTCTGGTCGTCTTCCCCCCACCACTACTCAGGAAGCAGTGACTGATGCGCGTTGGCCTCCCCGGCACCAAGGCATGACTTCGGTTGGGCGCTCTAAGCTGTCCCTACAAAGGCTTTGCCCAGGGTGGCCCGTCTACTAAGGCTGTACCATTGTGCATCTGTTTATACTAGCCATTTTCATATATCTATAGTGCTAACATAAACACTGTGCTGGGAGGGCAGAGCTAATGTAAACAGAAGGTTGGGAGAGCGTTACCAACAGCAGCTTATTTACATAAACAGCTAATTCTGAAAGGAGATCTCAGGGATCTCTGGTTTAATTAGCTGTATTGTACAAGTGCAGTTATTTGGTTGGAAACATCCAACAAAAAAGACAGATGACTGATGAAAAAAATGGTTCATATTCTGTGTCACCAACGCTGACCCACACAGAGTCCCGTGCATTGTTTTTAATTTTTTATTTTTTTGTGTAAACGCCTACCACCACCAATTGCCTTTCGGGGAAACACTGGTTTTAGTCCAACAGAAAAGTATCGATAAGAGGACCATTAAAATACTGGATCGATAAGCAGTACCGATATGTGTAGTAGTATTGATAAAAACTTAACAATACCCATCCCTATGTACCACCCCCCGGCCAAGGTACACCATGGCCAGAGGACCCAGGCCCCACCAGGCCGAATCAGCACATACTCGAGCACCCAGCCCCAGACACTGACAGCTACGGGCGCACCGGCGGGCAGAGGCACCAACCACCAGAGAGAAGTGTGACAGGGGAGTGAGGCACCACAAGTGGGGTGGGGTGTGTGTGTGTG